AATTGGAAACCATTTAACGTGAAACTTTGCACATTGCGTAAATATTCTGGCTTCATCTGCTTGCCTGTACAAAATATACATCATCAATAAGGTGTTTACTGAATTTCACCTTTTAATATCTGCATTTTACTACATTACTACTTAATGCAAACTGCGTAAAAATAACTGAAAATCGAGCTTGCGCAGCTAGAAATGTCTGCATCCACAATTCCACATACTTGTGTAAAATATGTTTTAGCCTGAGTGCTAATAGAAGTACTTAGTCCTGATGACGGACTTCTTGCTGGCCGGTGATTCATTGAGCTTTTTCAAATCAACGAGGTTGCCAGCTTTTGACTTTCTGAAAACACAAAAAGCACCTCCCTCCCTTTGCTGTAGCCTAACTGAAATACAGCTCTGGAATACCAACATGCTCAGTGAAAAGAACCTGGAAAGGCTATTTAGTCAGGAGTTTAGATGTTTACACAGGAAGAACATTGAAAGGAATAAAGACCTTTGTTCTTCAGCCTCTCAGTGGCATTGCAAGTAAAAGGTGTCATTCATGTTGGTGAGAATATCCGCATGGATAGGTAGTTAGTTTGTTCGTATTGAATGATTCAGCAACTTTGGCATGGCTCATGCTGTTGAGTGATGGTTACCATGGGTGATGGGATGAACCATGCAGGAACTCCCAAGGCAGTTTCATCAAGCTGTGAAATAATAGTTGGGCTTCTTTTTCAGCTCTTTCCTTTTCATTCAGCCACAAACCTGACTATAAGTCCATTGTTGTCGAATTATGCAGCATTTAAGAAATTGTCACAAAAATGTATCTTGCAAGAAATGACTGGAGACCCTCTTAAATTTTCTTATATGTGGAAAAAAAAAAGTCTCTCTTTTGCATTTTCTGTTCCCTGGCCCCATAAAGGACAACTCTGTCGGCCTGGCCTGTTGAGGGGACACTTTTTGGGACCAATGCAGACCCCCCCTCAGTTCCTCACTGTCAGTGCCTGTGCGTGGGTCAGCAGTTTTTGTCGCTGTAAGTGGTTTTAGACACCTGCTTGCTCCCTATTCTCTTGTTCACCCATCAACAGCCCTGCATCCAACCCCTCCAGTACCAGCCTCCCAGCTGCTCTTATCCCCCTGCATAGCTTTCTGCATGGATAGCTGTGACCTTGCATCCTTTGTGGTCAACCTCTGGCATTGTGATTCATGTCAACCCGAGAGTGTGATCCATAAAGACCATGCCGATGTTTGTGCATGCTTGCACCCTCTCTCTCTTCACAATAACCTCAAATTGTATCAGTTAAAGAATCCAGTTTACATGCAAGCACATTCACAAAGAGCCACTGGTAACATTGAACCTTTGCTGCTGAAACCTTAGTTTTCAAATGTCAGATAGAAAGGGCAGAACTGTCTTGATTTCACCAAATCATGTGCTGCAAGCCTGACCAATCAGGAATATCCTGACTGTTCATTAATATCAAGCCATATAACATGTGCTTTGTACATTTGTACCTTTAATTACCTGCCACAGCCTTTAAACCTAACAAATTAAATGTTGAAATATTAGGGGGTTTTTTTTCTTTGTTGTAGGGCTGCATAGAAGAAAAAGTAATCCAGTAAATGTCAATTATTTCCCTTCATTATTTGTAATCTTAATTCATTTTGATTAATACAATTTACATTAAAAAGTATTTTTACAGGGTAACTGCATGCTACTTTTTTTTTGCGTTTCTAATTGTGTTTTTGTACTGTAAATCAAGTGCTTAAACTGCCATGTTCTCATTGGCCCTCTTAGCAGCATGAAAAACAAAACTGCTTTTCACATTTTGATTGCATTATAACTCAAGAATGCTAAATCAACAAACCCGTCTAATTTACACAATCTACACTTTGTTGATTATAATAGGAGCTTTCTAGTTTTGCTGCATTGCACACAGTGTATATTGGGCAATACAATTTGTACTAGTTGTCATCACCCCAGTTATGTGATGAATAAACATGTCAGTGATTGGTAACAATGCTTAAATACTGTTAAAACCTTATGTAAATATACTGATACAAATAAGAGAAAAAGAAAAAAAAATCATGGTTAAGTATGAAGAAAATTGTATTCTTGATATATTACTTGAAAAACTGTGCTTTATCTATATGCAAGATCGATGGGAACCTAAACAGAATATGAATAATTAGGTTTCTCAGTTTATTATAGATGCTCTCTTTTTAATTCTTGCAAATTTAGTGATCAGAAATGAATTCATCAGTCTCAAATGTAATCTCATAAAACTACTATTGATTAGTTTAGATAGGGTGCTCTTATGTTTGTTTGTTGTTTTTTCTTTAGGTGTTCATTTTAATGATCTCATTGGATTTCTTGCATCGTTCTCAAGGTTTGCCAAAATCAAAGGATTACTGACTTATTTGCGAATCTAAAATTGATCACAATCTGTCAGCATAAAATATGAGAACTAGAGACTGAGTTGATTAATTGTGAACTTTGTGTTGGCTTAACAGTGTAAAGAAGGATTACAGTTCTAAGATCCTCTGAACAAAGTACAGTGAACAACTGTTTAAGTAAGATTACTGAAGGAGCTGTGAATATCTAGTAAATATCAAGCAAAGTTTGTGTTATGAAGAATGTAAAATTGTCATTTAGGCAATACATTTTCAGTCTCTGGACATTATAGACAAGAAAGAAGCTTAAAAAGAGATTTCTCTGCCAATTCAACACTAACACTACGATCACATTTAAGCAAATGCTAATCATCCAAGAGTCCAAGACCAATAGTTATGTTGTCTGCAGCTGAAAAAAAATGTGGCACTAGTTGGCTCTAAATTTTGTTGATACAGCACCATACATAACCACTTTCTCAGTGGTGATTTTATTGCCAAGCATAAACATGTACAGCATTGAGTCATCCCAATACTGAAAATACCTTTATAGAGCACTTGCTAACCTCCCGTGTTGTGCTTTTGTATTTTCTTAGTTCGGGGTATTGGAACCAGTGAAAATTTGGACGTGCTGGAAAAGATGTCAGTCAGCGTCCATGAAAACCGCAAATCCAGGACGAGCACAGGCTCCATGAACATTTCGCTCTTCCACAAGCCCTCTCATCCAGACAGTGTGCTCACCCACCTCAACAGCCTGCGCAAACAGTGCATGTTCACAGATGTGACACTATGGGCAGGCGACCGCTCCTTTCCCTGTCACAGAGCTGTGCTTGCCGCTTGCAGTCGCTACTTTGAAGCCATGTTTAGCGGTGGCCTCCGTGAGAGCCTTGACAATGAGGTTAACTTTCGAGACAGTGTTCACCCAGAAGTTCTGGAGCTGCTGTTGGACTTTGCTTACTCTTCACGTGTCATCATCAACGAGGAGAATGCAGAGTCACTTCTCGAGGCTGGGGATATGCTGCAGTTTCATGACATCCGTGATGCAGCAGCAGAATTTTTGGAGAAGAATTTGCACGCATCAAACTGCTTAGGGATGATGCTGCTCTCCGACGCCCATCAGTGTAAGCGGCTTTATGAGCTGTCGTGGAGGATGTGCCTCATCCACTTTGAGACTCTTCGAGACACTGAAGACTTCTGTGGGCTCTCGAAAGACAAGCTTTTGGATCTCATCCTTAGTGATGAGCTGGAGGTTGAAGATGAACAGATTGTGTTCAATGCAGTCATGCGCTGGATTAGGTATGACCTAGACAGCCGCAGAGACTACCTTCCTGAACTGCTGCGAGGACTACGCCTTGCACTGTTACCCTCAGAATGCCTCATTGAAGCTGTGGCATGTGAGGAACTTGTGATGTCAGATAAAAGGAACCGACAGATTGTTGATGAGGCCATGCAGTGCAAGAAAAAGATTCTGCAAAATGATGGTGTTGTCACCAGCCCCTGCGCTAGGCCTCGCAAAGCTGGGCACACTCTGCTCATTCTTGGGGGTCAGACATTTATGTGTGATAAGATCTACCAAGTGGATCACAAAGCAAAAGAGATCATCCCTAAATCATATAAATGTAAACCTATCAATTGCATTGGACTGCAAAATATTAATGCTTATTGACTATATGAAATGCATTAAGCTTTGTTATAATAACTTTACTTCTATAGGCATCCTAGACTCATCATTTCTGCTATCATAATATCTTGTCTGTCAGCACTTATGAAGACTAGGGCTAATAGGTCATTACAGACTAACAACATTTGCATGAAGTCATTACATTGTCTGCATGAAGTCAGAGTTGAATGATAATGTGTGTGCATATTGGTTTGTGTGCGTATACAGCAAAGGTAGTTGCTTCTTAAACCTAATGCTGAGGAATTACAATTGTGTCGATGGCCTCTATGAATGCGTCATAACAGTCAGCTGAACATCTCTCACTTGTGTCATTTAAATTAGACTGCCTGGGGAGAGACCAGAGCCATCTCATTGCATCCCCTGGTGATTAGAAAATGATTACTTCTGTGAGTAATCATTAACACTCTTCATCAGCCAGTGACTTCGTTCACACCACAAGCGCTTCGTTTCACAGTGAAGCAGGTGGCCCAGCAAAAGCTGGGTTTTATAATTAGCCCCAGGGGGCACAAAATCAGAATGTCTGGAGGACGCCCTGGCAGGCCTGTTGAAGGATGTTGGCAGCAGCCAAGAAACGCCCGCAGGAAGTGCATAAACATGGTTAAACATGTTCCAAGCAAAGGGTTAAAGCTTAGCTGGTTAGCATGGCCCACTAGACTCTGCTGGTAGACATCGTAACTACACCATCTGGCTGCCAAAATTTTTATTTTTTTTTCCATTGAAGGGCATTCAAAAATATCTTTGTATTTTGGCTAAATAGCAACATTTAAATATTTCATATTACAGTAGATGTTTTTTGGAGAGAGCTTACATTTATATTTAAGCATATATCATTCGACAATCTGATTTGAGATATCATTATGCAGCTCAAGTGATTATTTACAGCTCAGGTGACTGGCTCTGACAGCAAAAATCTTACAGCAGAACTGAGCATCCATGAGCAAAGATAGATGTCAGTTTCTTCAAGTATTATATAGGCCTCCTAGACTCTCCTATTTGTCTCTTTACCCTGTTCAACCTTGCAGCCTTCTCCGCACTGATAAAGTAACTTAAGATGTGGGCAATAAAAGCAAAGGCTGCCGTGTTTTGAACTCTTATTGAGTGAAGGTATGAAGAATTAATAGAGGTGAGCAGCTCTGTGGTCTCACACTTAAAATGCCTGTTGGTCTCCATGGTGGAATGGCTCTGTGTGTCATTATGAGAAACAAAACATAGAGAAGAATGAGCTTCATGAATGATTTAAAGGACTGTGCAGGGTTGGGATTCCACTTTCAAATTATAAATAATTTAAAATCTGCAGCGGCCAGGGAGAAGGAGAGGAGTACCTGAATGTAATCCATTTCAGAAAGCTGTGTATCATTTTAAACAACAGGATAATTGAATCCCACAGTCTAAATTTGACATTTATTAGTCAATCACACAGCCTTGCTGAAAACACTCAATCGCATTTCACGGTAGTTATACATTTTTTTTTTTAGAGACTTAGTTTAATACCCCTAAAAAAAGAAAGAAAGAAAAGCTTTCAGAGAATGATGGTAGATCTTATAGAAAGTATTTCTAAATGGTATAGTTTATAAACTGCACATTATTGTCCATGTCAAAGTTTAAAGGAATATCCTCCCCCCCAAAAAAATAAATTTGTTTACTCACCATCATGTTATTCCAAAGTTTCTTCTGCAGAACACAATTTTTTTTGTTTAAAGCCTCGTGACTAAACAAAGGGTGCCAATGTGAGTGTGCACACCGACGCGCAAAACGCCAGGCGTAAAAGTGTCATTTCTTAAACGCATCGGGCTCGTTTTTTTAGTTTGACGTGCCGCGTTAAAAACTGGCCGACCAACTGCTGGTCTCATTGGTGTCTGAACACAAAAAGCAATATGACAAATGCGACAGCGACTACAAAAATATCGGTAAGAGGGAGCTGTTATGGAGAGGAATTGCAGATCAAATAGGATTCGATGTGTACCGGGGTATTTCTGTTTTTCATTAAGCGGCATCTACTGTCAGGGAGTGAATTTGCACGTTCACTCGGCTCATCGCCAGCGAAAATTGCTTGGGTATGAACCCAAAGACGCGTCGAAAAACGTCTCGGAAAAACGCTGGCGATAAGCGCACGTGATAATCGTCCCGGTGTGCACGAGGCTTTATACCTTGCCAGAATTGTCCTTTCATTGCAATTTGTGGTGGTCTTTAGTTACATAGTAGATGTTAAAAATTCTAGGGGGGTTTTATACAGTAGAGTACAAAAGAAACTTTATGTGATAGCATTGCTTTTATTTGTAGCTTTAAAAGTTTAAATTAGAAACCTTCTTAATTGTATACATAGTTACACATGAAAAGCTTTTCAGTGGGGTTGCCGTTTAGAAATTGTTTGTTAAAACGAATTAAAGTTTAGTTTACATGTGCTTTGATTTCAGATTAAAGCAATAATTTATAAATATGCAAATGCTTTAGTCTGACTTCTCAAAAGTTGGACTGGTATGATTTCAGTTGGACTAAAGCATCTACTTTTTGTGTGCATTGTGTGACGTACTAGGACAGACAAAATCCAATGTAACTGTGCAGTGAACATAATTGGTATGATTTCAGGCCATTTCCTTCGAGTTACCATCCCGCCCCCAGCACTTCACCTGAACAAAGGCTGTTATCTGCACTACACCTTGACGTTGGACTTCTCAAACCACTTCTGTTCGGGAATCTCCCTAAGCCCTGTTTGATGGAATCAGCTAGAATTTGCGGGTGTAATTTCAGAAGGAAAGTGCTGGCGCCGTTTTGAGTGACCACTGGATAAACAGTCAGAAATTGCCCAAACAATACCATAATTGTTTCCGAAGTATGAGCTGGTAATGCTTTTTAAAAGTAGCATCAAACTTGTTGATGACTTTGCAGGACTATAATTACAACCAGAAGCTTCAGGTAAATATAATGGGGAATATCCAGGCATTGACCTGTAACGACATCCCCTTTGACTTTGCTTTAGCACATGCCATATGTCCTCAATAAGACTTAGTTACTGCTTTTTCTGCCAACAGTGCAGTTTCAATGGGTAGTATTGTGTTTAACTAATCCAGGTGATTTGCCAGTTGGAACAGTCCTGACCCTTTGCCAAACACCACAACCTCCCGTCCCAACCCCTAAAGGAGGGGCCTTTAGAAAAACTAAACCAGCTAATTGTTTTGC